AGACCAGTGCGAACGTTGAATGGTTTCGACTTAACGCCATTAACTCTGACGCAGCACCTGCTATCAGAATTCAGTGATTGGATGGCCATTAGTAGCTGGCCATCAATCGCGTATGCACGAAGGCATGTCCACAGACTATTGTGTGGTATCCGCCATACGCTTTCTCTACGTCCACAAATTACATGTACACCGGTTGGGCGTTCTCACACGATTCCTCAACAATCTGGCGCAGGGCAAATATATGGTCAGAGGTGCTTCGACAGGGCGGGAAGCCACACTACTCTTTTTGGATCTTGAGTTCAACCATTCCACGGCACCTCTTTTCTAACATCTTTGCGTAGACTTTACCTGGGAGGCTCAGTAACGTTATGCCCCTATAATTGGAGCATTCAATTTGGTCTCCCTTCTTGAATACGGCTCTAATAACTCCCGTTCTCCAGTCCGCTGGTATCTTTCCCGCAGTTATCGCAGTTTGACAGACACGTGTTAGGCAGCACATGCCTTGTTCGTCTAATGCCTTGAGCATCTCAGGGCGGATTTCCTCAATTCCTGCAGCTTTTCCATTTTTCAAGCTTTTCATTGCTTGTGCAATTTCATCTACAGAGATAGTAATATCCGTACCTTTCTGCTCTACAGGGGAATCTTCCTGCTATTGCGCGTGGCTAAGGAGTTCCTCAAAGTACTCCCTCCATCGCCGAAGAATGTCATCATTCTTGGTAAAATGGTGTCCGGATCTGTCCTTCAAGATTCCGAGACTGCCCGTCTTTTCACATCGGAGCAGGCGGATGGGCTGCCAGAGAACGTTGCTCGCTGTCTGGAAAGTTGACTCGAACACCTCATCGAACTTCTCCCAGGAGTCTGCTTTGGTTTTGGCCACTGCTATGGCTGCCAATTTGCGTGCCTCGACATGTTGCACGCGAGTAGATGGCTCCTTGTTTCCAAGCCATTTTTTGAACGCTGCTTTGTTTTCTTTAGGTGCCAGCTGTACCTCTCGTGTCCATCATGAAGATCTTTTCTGACCTGCAGGCGGCAGGCCAACCCGTTTATATCCGCAGCATTCGACGGCAGCCTCGACTATGCCGCTCTTAGAGAGCTGCCACTCGGTTTCAATATCAGTTATCATCACTGGGATCTCTTTAAACCGTCGTGCGATGTTGTTTGCAAATTTCGCTGTCGTGTCCACCGAAGATAACGTTACCCATTTGATTCTCCGGTTGCTTGTCACCAGATCTTCGTATGCTACTCCATTTCTTACAGGTGATGATCGGTTGATAGCTCTGTGCGTCTTTTAACGGGAACATCCATTACTGAACGGCTTGAGCTAGACGATACGATCATAAAATCGATAATGGACTTCTGTGCACAAATTTCTCACGCAGCCTTTGATGCACGCAGGTGTTCGTAATAGACGATTCATTGTTTCTACAAAGCCGCAGCAACTTTTTGCTGTTATTGTTTAGGTCACTAGGGCCGTTTTTCCTAATCGCTGCTTTCCAGTTTTCAGAGTCTGATATGACATGCGCACTAAAATAGGCAATTCGAGTGATAGATTCCTCATTCCTCACATTGTAGAGGGCATGTTGCATTTCGTCAAGGTAATACTCATATCTTCCTTCCAAAATAATATCATATACCTGTAATAAGATCAACGCTTTAACCTGTTTTAACTTAATTCGCAGGAGTGCCGCTCTTCCGCTGTAAGGTTTCCACTCAGTGATTTTGTCAGCCAGGCTGGGGTACACTAGAACACCAGCACTGGCCGAAGCGAGTCGTGATATCGACACCTGAGTAGAATAGCTCCCAGCCGCAGAGGTTCAGGATTCCAGAGCCTTGGCGCTTAGTTGATGAGAGTCCAGCAATGTCGAGTTCGTACTTTATGGCCTCATTAACTAACTCTTGTTCTTTCACTGTCAGTGATGACATATTCCAATTTCCGACTGCAAGCTCCCACTGGCGGTGTCGTTCCCGTGAAAACTTTTTTGAAGGCCCGTAATGGCATCACTCTCTATCTACGTCCTCCGTTCAGAACAAGTATCGACTCCGTTGTTGACTTATATTTTCGTCTGTGTTTGTTTGCCTTTGTTGTGCTGCTACGCAGCCGGTTGCCAGAAGGCGCTGAGCAGGTTTTAGCGTCGACTTGTCGCAGTCTGCCTGAGTCTTTCAAAAGCCTGTGCGGTCCTAGGTAAGCCGGACGATGCCGGCCCGGTATAATGCTCGATGTCCGCAATACCATGCTGGGTAGGTGGTTAAGTTACATGAGACCTCACCAGGGTCTCAAACACTCGCTTTTTCATCGCGGTTGGGACGAGCAACAAAATACTTGAGTGAGGCAATATCACTGAATTATGCATCGGTAGGTGTTAAAGAAGTATTCAAGACATATCTTTGGAAAGATCACGGGCTGAACATAACAGGCACTACTGTATTTTTCTGTATATTGTGAGAGAAATTTTGATCTTCTCAGGATCACGAAAAGAAGATGAATCTAAGAGCTGAACGATGCCAGCATGAGGACAGGAACAAAAATACGGCTGATGAGGATTAAGATCATGCTTAACAAATACGCGATTGCTCGACGTTTTGAAATCAAAGCACTTAGGCCTGAAGGAGCACCAGATCATCTTTTCACGGAAAATCGATCACAAAGTCAACAGAAGAATAAAAATGGCATGAAGCGCTTTTGGAAAACTGAATTTGTTTTTATCTGAGAAACTGTGCTTGAAACAGAAAATTTTTGACCAGTGTGTTTCCAGTGCTAAACGCATATCCTATACCCGAAAGCTAATCATCAATTAGACACTGGGCAACGTAGCGTTGGGAAAAACAAGAAAAGATAGAAAGATGAATGAATCGGTAAGATCACAAAGAAGTCTATGATGCGATTACCTGAGTAAAGAAACTAAAAACTGCAGAACACGACGCAAGAAGAATCGATCATCGCTGGGCCAGAGAGAGATGAGACTGGGTTTCAAAAGAAAGTTAACCGCCTGTAAGACCTCCAGCTCGATGACGCAATGAGTTGAAGACGTTCGTCATTATCAGGATGGAGGAAAGTACTGAAAACCAGAACTTTATGGCGGAGTCTTTGACAGGTCCCCACTCAGCAGTGGATCGACAAAGACTGATGATGATAACGAAGCCTAAATATGACAGAAAGGTTCCTGCCATCCTTCATATTAATCTTTGATGAAAGCATGTTGAATTCAGCGCAAAATGCCGCTTATCCTAAAACTCAAAGTGGCGATTCACAGGCTGGGAACAGAGTACTACTAATGGACATTAGATACATGATATATTAAAAATTCTAGGGGAAAAGTATTCTCTGCCATTCCCGAAATAATCAGAATGAGCAAGTACAAAAATACAAGATCAATCGGAGTTGAACATATTATCTTCTGTTTGAAGGGAAGTCCATGCTTGCTGCAAATGTGCATCTGACAGCAATGCTGCCATGAATGAAGGAATGACTGTTTGAAGAAATGGCGTTTCTACTTTCCGATAGGCACTGTCATACGGTTTTAGCTCATAGGACGTCTTTTACGTCATAACATTATGCAGTTCCACAATCATCACTCTCGAAGATTCAACAACGACTCATAAATACATTTCCATAAATCACCTCTGATTCGTCACCGAAATTGCATTTAAATTTACCGTGGCTTCATTCTGTAGTTAAATATCACATTATAATCAAGGCTATTTATTGAAAGCTAATAAGAAAATTATCTTGTTTTCCACGAACCATATGCATTTCGATTTGATGTTAAAATCAATCAAGCAATTATATTCGAGTCAGCTTTCGCATAACACCATCAACGCCTTTAAATTAATGTTTCAATTCGTGTAATACATAATCATAGGGTCTCTCAGCAAATCTAAACAGCATAAGGTGCAAATGCAAATTTAAGAACTGAACCGCAGTTGTACTATCTAAATAATACATCAATAATCAATATAAATAATAATCAATATAAAATTTAGGCTTCACGTTTATGAGCACAACTAACTGAGCGACCGTGTTAAAAACCTGGACATTACCATTGTATGGAATATTCGGAAAAATCAACATCCGTCACTGATGCAGAATGATTCAAAAACCAGCAATATTGATTCTCTGGCGATGACAAACCACATTAAATTTTCAAAATCCGATTACTCCTACATACACCTTCAAATTTAAAAAATTCTGTTTAATCCTCTCTTTCTTTATTTATCAGTGCTTTCAATCAGACAGCAGATTTTCGCATTAAAATTCAACAGTCTACACCAAACCAATTATACAGCGTGTTCGGCTGCGGTAATAACATACTTGTTAGGCGTACAGTGAATAACAGGAAACCGACGAATTAACAGAGACCCTTCAATAAACCGCCATACCCTAGTATGAAAGGATAAAATGGGTACAAAAACTGAAGGCTATTTGACTTGCATTATTCGTTGGCTAATCGAAAATGTCTATTTTAAAAACCATCAAACTATAAGGCGCAAAATATGAAACAGTCAGGAAAGGATTCGCTAAGATCACATACCCGTGTCAGACCTGGCATTACATTTTCACGAGGATACTGAACGTACGAAATGGTGGTAGAGCTGGTCTTCACACACCACATGAAGCATGCGATAGACCATCTACTGACCATGTCCGATCCGTATCGCCTGCCAGTCTGCGGGATGGTCTACAACGTGGTGAACGGTAGCTTGCCGAACTGCCACGTATTCGTGGACATGTGGCCGAACTTTAAATCTATGGTATGTGTACGTTCCTGCGATGAATACGGTAAGCCCGAGATGGACTTCGCTACATGGTACAGTCCAGACATGGTCAGTTTTGAAGGGATGTTCAGAAAAATCGCCGACATGCGGAAATGGTTCAATGGCGGCAGAGGTGTGATCTTGCACTACGTCAACAGTGAGTGCAAACGGGTGCTGGCAAACGAGTTCAACGTACCACAAACTGCAATCGCTTGCGATTCGTACAGCCTTTACAGCTTTGACCTGCTCTTAAACGATCACTCGGCGATGGACGCACTCGACCGAAAAACACAACGAATCGTGGACACTCTTCCTGATGGATTTGAGGTTGGACAGCTGCAAGCGAAAGACATCGAAACAGTAGCCCGGTTCCAGGGTCGGAAATTTCCCGATAAAGTTAGCTATTACCAGTGGCTCATTCAACACCTACCATCGGTGTGCGTCCGCAACTCAGAGGGACACGTGGTCGCCTGGAAGCTCACCTACGACAGTGGCACCATGGGAGCGCTCTTCGTACTGCCTGAATTCCGAAAACAAGGACTAGCACTGCTGATCGCCGCTCGAAACCTCAAAGAAACGCTGACTAAATACAACGCGATCGCTGCCGTTGCCGAAAGCAACGAACCTTGCAAGACAATGCTGCAAAACCACTTTCACGGCAAGGCTCTCGGCATAGAAGTGTCATGGATAATCTGTGAGTAAACAGTAATTAGATGCTGATCTGTCGGTTTAAAACTGGCGGAGAAACATATATCACTTAACGCTTAAGTAGTGTTCAGTAAACTTTACTGTTGTCAAAAATTTCATTACAAGTCATATAATATAATGGTTGTCTCCTAATGTCAAACTTCAGGTCATAATTGTGGACGGCGACTGAAATATGGAAATTTATAAAAAAGACAGAGCAAACCATATTCTGCCTAGAAAATACTTTAGTTATAGACCCTCACAAACTCCAACACATTCGCTGAGTGTAGTACTAATAGTTGGATATAATATTGTTATTCCAGTAACGTCTAACGTAGTGGTGTCTGCAAGCATCCATCCAAAGAAACAGATGGAATGCATAATCTAACATGATTCCTACAATTGATAGCCAGCGACTGGTTCAGCAGGACTCAGCAACAGTTGGCAGTAATTTCCCACATGTAATGAATGGAATGCGAAACAAAGTACAGTACAATCTACATGCTTAAATTTACCATGCTAGTATGATTATCACAGAGAAGAAACTCACAGAGCTGCTTAGTCTATTTTGTTCAACAGAACTATGGAAGAATCAATACAAGAAATTTCGTATCTACTAATTTCATCTACTTAGGCTATAAGAAATTTAGGTCTCATCTAAAATGCGTTTGCACTATAGACCAATAGGAACGCTCGTACGCGTGTTCTTCACGACTATTCTCAATCTTCAATGCCGCAATCTCGAATATGCGAAGTCATTTCTTCTTATCGATACGACATTCCACTTGTATTCATCCAAGAACATTTCCTACTGGAACTGGTTACAATCAAGGTTTGCATGGTTGTCATTTACTCGCCATCTGATCGCCTGCCGTGGACCCAAAATGGACTTTACCTTGAGAAATGTCATTATAGCTAAAATTGTTCTAGTTCCTGGCGATAAACTGCTCTAGAGCTAGCAAATAAAAAATTCTCATGTCCTTATCAGAGGCTTGCTTGATTTCTCTGTCACATCCACATCGACTGGTTGAGCAGAATCCACTCAAGTATATTAAATTTGTGATGCAATTTCACACCTAAGCATTCTTCGTATTCCACTAAACGGACAGGAGGTTAAATTTCGAAAAAAGGCAAACACATAACAAGGCACGCACATAGTTCAACCAAAAATATTGTTCTCTTTCCATACAATAAACAAAATCGAGCATTCTTAAGCAATGAATGCTCAGTGCGAATAATTATAATACGTCCAGCCCGGTTTGCGTTAAAGGCAGGAGAAGAACTCATGGTTAACTGCCACAATCCCCCGTCGTAGAACAGTTTCATCTAAAAATGCTGCGAGGCTGCGAGAGATATTTCTACCAAACGATGACCTCGTGGCTTAAAACGTTGTATGAACATTCGTTTATGTAGTTTCGGAGTGGTCCTCATGGAGGCGCACCAGAGCACCTCGTCAAACACATGAATGATGAAGGCTTCTAGAAAAACTGATCGATTAAAGAACGTTTCAAGGCCTCCTACATCGAAGATGACAAGTCGCTGGCGCAGTGGTTTGAAGTTGGCCAGGTGCAACTGAGGATAATGAAATGCGAGTTAAAGATTGAAACTGCGTTGTTCGAAAACTGTTTGAAGGATCGTGACAAGATTAAATGATTATAAATTCTGGAAGAAACTTAGAGGAGCATCGTTCGTGGTGAACATGAGGAATTCCTAGCCAACTAAAGCATGTGAGATTCACTCAGCACGGAAGGGTGCTCAAATACTGTATAGCCGTGACTGGATAAATCCATCCTCCCCTTCCCACATAACCACGAGCATGGAAGAGGCACAGTACGTCGAAAAATTTAGAAGAATTAACAGCCAACTTATATCGAGCAATTGTGCAGATGCAAATGGATGGTCATCTTCCTCCTTCCTATTGAACAGCTGACCAAACAAACATTTGCTCAACTAAATGCACTGGGGCACTGCACTAGCATCCCCAAATTATGGCAAGCTGCACAAAATATGGAAAGATCGGATTGTAGGAACAGACTCGAAGATCATCGTATCTGAAATCAACAGTATTCACGGTGCTGCTCTGCAGTCTAATCACATCTACTGCCCTGAAGTGTCGTGAAGCTCGCTCAGACAGTTTTCATCAGCGTTGTATGCGAAATATCGTCAAAGTGCAACGATCAGAAGGTGGAAGGCGCTGACGATCACCTATATTGGCTTGGCTCAATAAAACGGCCCAAAGGAGAATGGAAATATTTTCAAAACCATTTTCGCAGGAAAACTCGCAGTGGCAACAGACACGTCAACAGGGCCGTACACCACGTAGAAATATGCCGTTAACAATCTGCTTGCGAGAAGGAATATGACCTTCTGCACCAGAAATGAACGTTGTGAAATATGAATCTTAAGTATTTTAACGGTGAGATATCATAAATCTGGGCTACTGTGATGTTTAAATTCTGACAACTTTAAATGACGATGACAAAACAACAACAATTAAATGATCTCGAACAAATCAACCGGTTGAACAGACAACTACCTACAACATATGGCGCCATACATTGTAAAATACAGTGTAAAACCTTGTAGAATGGTGTCAAAAGATCTTCACATTCAATGACAGTGAACACGAAAAGGGTTGAAAATGGAAAAACAGAAATTTAAACGTTCTTAGTGTCTACGATTGTCTTGATTTGGAACATTACCAGTGAAAGGGCATGAAACTTTTTTTCGAATATCTGATACAACGATGTACCGGAAAAGAATTCCCCGATGAGGTTTCTTCTTTTATTAAAGCATTTCCTTTAACAGTCGACAAATGCACTTAAATAAGT